CAATTTGATCCAGCAATTCATTCCTGAACATATATACAGAAGAACTTAAAGCAGGTACTCAAACAGCTGTTAGTGCATTGATGTCTTCACAACAGCCAAAAGGTGAAAACAACCTAAATGTCCACTGATGGATGAATGAATGAACAAAATGTGCTATATAGTGAGATAGTCTCTTCAATAAATGGCATTGGGAAAACTAGACTGGTACATGTGAAAAAATGAACTAGACCACCAGCTTACACCACACACAAGAATAAACTAAAAAAGAGAAGAAAAAGACTTAAACAGAAGCCATGAAACCATAAAATCCCTGGAAGAAAACATAGGCAGTAAAATCTCAGATATCTCACATAACAATATTTGTGCAGATATATCTCCTAGGGAAGGGAAACAAAGGAGAAAAAAACATGATCCTACAACAAATTAAAAAGCTTCTGCACAGCTAAAGAAGCCATCAGCAGGATGGAAAGAAAACCTGCTGTACTGGAGAACATATTCGCCAACGACACATCTAGTAAGAGGTTAATCTCCAAAATATACAAAAAACTAATACAACTCAACTAGGAAGAAAAACGATCCAATCAAAAAACAGGTAAAGGATTTGAATATCCTCTTCTCCAAAGAGGACATACAGATGGCCAACAGACATGTGAAGAACTGTCCAACATCACTAATCATCAGAGAAATGCAAATTAAAACCATAATGAAATACCATCTCACACCTGTCAGAATAGCTATCATCAGTAAATCAACGTATGGCAAGTGTTGGTGAGGATGTGGAGAAAAGGGAACCCTTGTGCACTGCTAGTGGGAATGCAAACTGGTATAACCATTGTGGAGAACAGTATGGAGTTTCCTGAAAAAACAAAAAATGGAACTCCCCTTTGACCCAGTGATTCCACTTCTGAGAATATATCCCAAGAATCCTGAAACACCATTACAAGAAAATATATGCACCCCTAAGTTCATAGCAGTGCTCTTTACTATAACCAATACCTGGAAACAGTCTAAGTGTCCATCGGTAGGTGAGTGGATAAAAAAAGCTGTGGTACATTACACAGTGGAGTACTATCAGCAGTAAAAAAGGAACCTCTTATCTTTTGTGACAGTATGGATAGACCTGGAGGTTATGCTAAGTGAAATAAGCCAGTCAGTGGAAGACAAATACCACATGATCTCACTTATATATGGAATCTAACGAACACAATACACTAGTAAACAAAATAGAAACATAAGTATACATGCAATGCACAGACTGACAGCTGCTGGGAGGCAGTGGGGCCTGAATGAAAGATGGTGAAGGGATTAGCCAAAGAACATTTCTGCATGGCCATGGACAAAAATGATGATATGGGGATTGACTGAGAGAGGGGCAGAGGTGGGGCTGGGTGGAGGTGGGCAAAGGGAGAAAAAGCAGGGACAACCGCAACAGCATAAACAATAAAAAGGTGTGCTATATTGAGATACACACACACACACACACACACACACACAATGCAATATTATTCAGTCTTGAAGAGGAATGAAATTCTGGTACATGCTTCAACTTAGTTGAACCTCGAAGGCATTATGCTAAGTGAAATAAACCAGATACGAAAAGAGAAATATTGCATGATTCCACTTATATGGGCCACCTAGCATTATCAAGTACATAGAGACAGAAAGTACAACAGCAGTTACCAGGGGCTAGAGGGGAGAAGAAATGGGTAGTTGTTAATGTTTAACAGGTATAGGATTTTGGGTTGGGAAGATGAAAAAGTTCTGGAGATGGACAGTGGTGATGGTTGCACAAAATGTGAGTGTACTTGATGCCATTGAACTGTACAATAAAAACGTTCCAAATGGTAAATTTACATTTATCACATAAGAAAGGAGTCAAAATGAGTAAGTTTCACTATCAACCTCAGACAAATGACACCTGTGTGTACAATATAAACATGCATGCAGCCCTGCCTGCTGTGGCTCAGTGGGTTGGGCGTCGCCCACAAACTGAAGGGAGGCAGGTTTGATTCCCAGTCAGGGCACATGCCTGGGCTGTGGGCCAGGTCCCTGGTTGGGGGCGTGAGAGAGGCAACCAATCAATGTTGCTCTCCCTCTCCTCTTCCCTTCCCCTTTCTCTAAAAATAAATGTATAAAATATTTTTAAAATGTATGCAGTTTGTTACATTAGAAAATGCAAAACCATTCAGTCATGCTGAGGGTAGTAACTGATTAAAAAGCTCTGCCCTCCATGAAGCCAATGAGAAGTAACAGAAAAATGTCATCTATCTTCTAGACAACTGAAAAAGAAAAACCCGTGTGAGAGAATGGACTTGGTTTAATAAGCAATAACGGATTTACAAGCATCACCTTGAAATGCCTCACACGGAGGATGGAATGTGTCTAGGGGTTGTCAGAACTTAAAAATTCAACAAGTCTCTTGCTAGAAAAAAGTGTCAGGCTGGGCAGGCGGATCTAGCAAAGAACCCTCTCTTGTCACTATTTACTAGGTGCTATAAATTCCAGTTAATGCTTATTCATGGTATTTAGGTTTTATTTTAGGAGTCCATTAGAATCTACTTGGGGATTAAATTTCTAACTTTTTCTTTCTACTTAATTTGCTGCTAACAACTGCAGGGCCCTACTGCATCTCCAAGCCAGCTCTTTGGGAAGCTGTGAACATACTTAACTTAACATTAAGTGATATTAGCACTGATGTTCATAAGTGAAGGGAGAGAAGTACTCAAACACATGTTGGAGATTAACAAGGCAGTCAAATACTTCCAATCTGATAGTGCTGAGAATAAAATCAAGTGTACCCTAAGCTGTCATGCAGCGCCCTTCAAAGTCAGCAACAACTATTTTGAGAGCAGTTTTGCAAAGGGTCCCAGAATAGTATCACCACCCTTCCCCCACTCGCCAAGTGCAAAGGATTGTTAAGAGAGGGAACGAGTATACAAAAACTGCATGAGAACAAGCACCACACTCCAACTGCTCACCACCAATCCCCACTCCTCAGCACCGCACCTTATATGCAGCAGGCCTGTAACCATTTCTTGACTAAATCAATGTTCGAGAGCTGTTATCCCTTCCCCAATTCTCAAAGAGAACAATGCACTCTCCCTCTCTGTAGAAACTGCCTCATCTCTGGTTTGTGGACTCTTTTTGAGAGGCACTTTCATCACTTCATTTAACTTTGAAAGAAGGTGGAGGAGGGTGAGGACATGTGCTTGCTAATTACTCTCTTCCAGATTGCCTCATGCGCCAGAACAAATTTTTATTATTGGTCTGTGGCTGCTGTAGAAGAATTTCAGCCTGACCTTCCCAAGCTGCTGGGGGATGAATACTGCACATGGCTGACAGGGAAAATGTATCTTTTTTTTAAAAAAATAAAGATTCTATTTAGACTAACCAGAGCTCACTGTGGTAGGAAAGTCACCCTTTTTCTCACTGAACAACATGGATGATGCTGAATCCTTTTGTATAAAAATGGTATAGTAAAATTGATCTGAATTGGTCCATCAGGAAAAAAGTAGCATTTCAAAGCACCTCACAGAGAGCAGTGGTATCAGAGAAGAGGACTTAGGGCTGCTCCATAGGCAGAACAGAAAAAAAGGAAAATAAAACGAAGCCATTTATAAAGGCAGTTTAAATAAGTGAATGGATTCTCGCAGGTGGCCTCACAAAAGAGAACAATTATGTCAAAGGAACAACTGATATACTAATAGAATCCTATCCATCTGGCTGAGGAAAGAGCCACTGGTGGGAATACTGAGAAGCTTGTCTGTTAGCAAAAAGGCTTGCTTGGTGCCTCACTGGGAGAGTGGAACAGCTTTTGGGAACACTGGAAAGCATGCTGAGCCATAGTTGGCTGGCCCCGTTAGCAAGAGGCTCACAGAAGGGTTATACTGATGCACTGGCAAAAAATGCAGTGCAGAGAGTATGTGGGCTTTTAAAAATTAGCTTGGAGCGTATATACCTGGACTCTCATGACTTCATGAATACTCTGGCCCTCCAACTTCCGGATAAAGTGCGAAGGGCCCTGGCCGGCTGGCTCGGATGGTGGGAGCATTGTTCCATACACCAAAACATTGTGGGTTCAGTCCCAGGCAGGGTACATAACTAGGTTGTGGGTTTGATCCCCGCTCGGGGCTCACACAGGCAGCAAGTGATCAATGTTTCTCTCTCACATCAATGTTTCTCTTTCTCCCTCTCCTCCCAACCCCCCCTCTCTCTAAAACAAAACAAAACAAACAATAAACATATCCTTGAGTGAGGATTTTAAAAAAAGAATAAAGTGGAAAGAAAGGAGATTGTGTGACTAGGATGCCTCATTTTGTGCTTTTAAAAATAGGACTCAAGAGTCTCATTCTGAAACATCAAGTTCAAGCCCATGCCATGCACTCAAGTCCCATCTCTACTTTTATATAACACAGAGCTGAGTGCAGGCACTTTGGGAGATGGGGAAATCAGGCCAGACTCAGGAAAAACACACACACAATACTATCTGCTTCTCCAACTCAGTCCACAACATAGAAACACCTGCTCAGAAATAATTTCTCAAGGCAAACAGAACTCAATTACCAAAGAAAATCTGCCCCAATAAGGGCTCGTGTTTTGACAGGCAAACAGCATTAAATTAAGCTGAACTCTGGGGTTTTTTTAATTGGCAGTTTCATCCATTTCTAAGTTTTCATTTCTTACTTTCAAAAATCAAAATGACTCTCTGCCTAAAATTAAAACACAGAAATGCTTTATCACCCACTCTAAAATAAGAATTCTCCAAATTTTCCCCTACATATCTTCTATATAATTAAACAAACCTCTCATTCGGCACAAAAACGGAAGCCATTACTATTTAAAGTATTATCAATAAAGCCCTTACTAATTCCTCTTAGCAGCCTGACTTTTGCCACTCCTGCTAGAAGCCCTGTCACAGAGTCCTTCTGCTACCAGATGGAGGGCAACTTACTCGACTCTAGCCACTGGGGAGGGTCACTCTGGGGAGAGTGATGGCTTACCTGTTCCTCCGACAATTGGGATATGTGATTCACAGCAGCATAGGACTCAATTTTGGGGTTAAAGTGGTTGATGATGGCTCTGAAACAAAGAATTAACATTCAGATAGCACCAGATGCAAGAAAAGGATAAATGAGCTTTAAAAAGTATTGCGTACTCTCTCGTTTAGAGCATGGGAGTGATTGTCAGGTGAGCTGTCCTCTTACTAAACATGAGATCACATGGGGGTGAACGGATAACTCTGAAGGGGGAAGGGTTTAATAATTTATTAGAGACAATAGAATTAAGCATCTCTGCTTTGCAAATAAGCTAGAGAAAACCTCACAACCAAACAAAAAACAAAACCAAGCACCCTTCAGACAAGAAATGGGACCCAGGAGGCCGTCCACTAGGGGGCCCCTGGTGCTTCGGTCAGAATGAGCAGCAGTTCCCTCCACCGTGACTTGGGAGGAGAACAGGGCATCCAGGAAAGCGGAACCGACTGCACGCTCAATACATTCTCTCAAGAGGCTGAGCTTCATCGAAGTCTAGAATTAATCTTCATATGTTAGGCAATATTTCCAATCAAAATTTTATTTCCAGCCATTGAACCCAAAATCTGGGTGCCATTTTCAAACACTATCCCTCACATTCAAGGATCACCAAGTCTTACCAAATCAACCTCTTAAAAATCTCTGAAATCTGAAGTAAATAAATTTCTTTGAAACCAATGCCTTGGTATAGGTCCTTGTCATTTCTTGTCTAGTGTAGCTGAAAAAACACAGGTTTCAGATCAAGGCTTTAGTATGACTCCATATCGATATAAAAATTATTAAATAAATGGAGAGAAGAGAAAATTTTTTAACAGAACAATTTCAAATATGTGTAGATACTTTCCTCCTTAGGAGGTGGAGTTTAGCTCCCATTCCCACTGAGGGTATCCTAGATTAGTAACTTATTTCCAAAGAATAGAGGAGCAAAAGGGAAAAACAGTAACTTTACAGTGAAAAACCCTGAAGAACACCCCCAGTGACATCTGGTCACCTGGTGTCAGGCCACCCCTGGTGTGCTCTGATGGGAAGGGCACCTCACTTCTTTTGTGTGCCTCCTAAAACCCATGACCCTGAACTGTGTCCTGGAGCAGAAAGAGGACATGAGTGGATAAACTGGTGAAATGAAACATAAAATATGGAGTTTAGTTAATAGTAATGTATCAATGCCAGTTTCCTTTGGTTCGGCGCTCAGTCCACCGAGCCACACTAGTCAGGGCTCAATGCCGGTTTCTTAATGCTGATGAATGTACCATGGTAATGTAAAAAAGAAATAATTAGGTTGAGAGACATATTTTGCATTTTTTTCTGTAATTCTAAAATTATTCCAAAATAAAAAGTTTACTAAAATGTGTGTGGCAGCAAAATAGAAATCAATGTTTTCTTTTACTGTAACTTACTGATTGTGGAGAATTACAAAGCCATTTAATCTAATACAGTTAATTAAAGTATAAACTAGAAACTTCACAAAAACATAATTTGGAATCCTATTTTGACCACTTATTATTCTGAATGATTTGGGGGAAGCTATATATCTCATCAGAGGGGGAAAAAGTGGAAATAATAATACTTATCTTAGCACTTAGCACAGTACCTAGGAATAGTACACTGTAGGCGTACAATAAATGTTTGTCTAAAGAGTGACTAAATACTAGAGGATTCTTGCAACATTTATATAACAAAGCAACGTCAAACACCTAGCATAATGCCTGGCACACAGCTGGTGCCCAATAAATATTCAATGAATGAATAAATTAAATACGACGGAAACAGGTCAGGAGCCCCATGCTTTATGCTGCAGAGCTTATATGCTAATATTGTTTGGTGGAGCGTATGACAGATTTGCCACTCTGGGAATTTATATTGGGGGGGGGGTTGGAGAATATATATTTGGAATGAAGATAAAATCACCCTCCAACCTGCTCTATAACATTCTCATCTCAGAGCTTCAGGTCTCAGCAGAGGCTAAAGTCTCCCACCATGCAAGCTGAGGGACTGTTTGGAGACCTGAGAGTTGTGCAACAGCCTAAACCCAGTCAGTAATCTCTAACTCAGCCCCCACAAACGGCATGGAGTACACATCTCTGCTTTACTTTCCTTGCTGGAGATGCCAGGTACAGGGCACTAGGCCTAGGAGGTAAGAAAAAGAGCCTGACGCTAGCTGTCTCCCTTCAGGATCTTTAGCAAGAAATTTGAGAAAAGGCGCTTCTTACTATTAAAATAGAAATATATTCTAAGATTGCAAAGAGATGACAAAACACTGAAACCAGGTTAAGTCAGCCCACACTGAGTGACACATGCCTTTGCAGTGGCTGACATACTTAGTTTCTCCTTCCCCAGGAAGTCTGGAGGCTACTAGAGCTCACCAAAGTTACGATTCCACACTGCCCTAAACTGGGATTTATGTCTGACTAGTTCTCAGTGGAAGAAAGATAAGGTACCAGATTTAAGGATGAGGGAAGAGCCTCTTTTTTTCAGGCTTTCCTTCCCACGGGTATCACCTCCAAAAGGATTTACTACCATCTCTTTTGAACACTGGGTGCAGGGGCGGTGAGGGGGTTTCTCCTGAAAGATTCTGACAGTAGCTCTCTCATTTTTACTGATCGAAACCTGACAAAAAGCAACTATCTGGTGCTGAAGTATAAAATGTGAGTGTTCCAGCAAGGAAGAAATGGCAATTTTTTTAATATCAGAAGATGAATGAGCAGAATGTGAGTTTAAGTCCCTTCTACCCATTCTCTCCAAACCCTGCCCCTACAAAAGAGGGCGGGGTCAGAAAAGGTGAACACTGTAAGTAGGACCCAAGTGCCTTGTTCCTGACTAGCCTGATACAAAATAAAGTTCAGAAAAAGTAGCTGAAGAGACCAGAAAGGAGTCTTGCATGGCCAGGAGGCTGGGGCAGGCTATCTCAGGGCATCCCCATTAGATTCCACTGAATTGTTACGAATACCGTATTTTGTCATGTATAATGTGCTGCCACGTTTTTGGCTCAAACTTTCAGGGGGAAAAAATCTTTTGTTTTAATTTTATAATTCATTCATTCATTCATTTATTTATATTTAGATACTTGTTATTTGTATTCTAGAAGAATTTTTGCATTTGTTTTTGAACATATTATGGTATAAAAATTTTATGTAACAAATAATTACAAAACACAAGAACAGATACAAGGTATTTCAGGTACTACCCAAGTATAATGCACATCCTTATTTTTCCCTAAAAAATTTGGGTAAAAATGTGTGCATCATACACAGTGAATTACAATATTTGTTCCTCAGCCTCCCAATCCATATGTTGAAGCAATAATTTCCAGTATGACTGTATTTGCAGAGAGGGCCTTTATTGAAGTAATTAAGGTTAAATGAGGTCATAAGGGTTGGGCACTGATCCAACATAATTAGTGTACTAATAAGAAGAGATAATAGAAAGATTGCTTGATCTCTCTCTCCACCATGTAGGGACAGCCAAAAGGTGGCCGGCGGGCTGTAAGTCAGGAAGCATCTGCACCAGAAACTTACCCTGCTGGACCTTGATCTAAAGACTTCTAGCACCTATAACTATAAGAAAATAAATTTGTTTTTTAAGCTGCCTAGCCTATAGTATTGTTATGGCAGCTGAGAAAACTAATACATGGATGTTCTACTCCCCACAGGGACCCTGGCATTTGGGCAAAGCAGCTCATGGGCCAGAATCAGTCTTTGTTTATCAAAGTAGTAAAACAGATAAAGTCGGCTTCTCATTATGCAGGTGACTTCCTCTTTTCCTGCCCTTTACCTTGTGGATTACTGTTTCCTTCTTTTCTAGAAGAGGATCATTCTGAGGTTCCTATCCTACAAAGTACCAATCACAAGTGCCACTAATGTAGCGACAGAGGCAATCAGCTTCTCAGACAGACTGGACTTGGCCTTTCAGCCTTTACTAAGTGAGAAACACAGACTTTAGTAAAGAAAGATTTTGCAGGAGTTTTTGAGTGGCCTGTGCCATACAGAAAATCACACACATTCACTGAACAGAGACAATGTCTGAAAGGATAGCAGTGCAGGCAATACCACGCATGGCAAAGAAAGAGCACCCTAAACAGTACTCTATATTCTTAGTGGTCAAACCTCACTCCTCCTCTAACCCTCTTCTCAGCCCCAAGCAACCACTAATCTTTCTCTCTATATAATAATCTATTGGGTTGGCCAAAAAGTCCATTTAGTTTTTTCCATAAACTAAGACATATTATTCATTTTCACCCATAACTTTATTGATTTGGATATTTTGAGTATGTTGGCTCTCTCCTGCCATTGGCTTCTAGTGGGTGGAGGCCAGGGCTGCTGCTAAACACCTTCCGATGCATAAGACAACTCCACAGCAAAGAATTATTTGGCCAGAATGTCAATAGTACCAAGAAACTTCACAAACCATTTTTCACACATTTGATCAGTCACAGAACCTTCTCCATATACTGCCCAAATCTGTTGTTTTTTTGCGTTTCAGTTGCATTTTATCTTTCTTGAAATAATAAAGCATAACACACCATGTTGCATATCCCCTTCTATCTTCAATATTAAAATGGCTGCACAAAATTTCACTAATTTTGACAAGTTTTTTTTAATGCACAGCTGATATGACAGCTGTCACAATGCAATCTAATAAAATAGTTTCAGTGAAGTTAAAGATAACTAAGCACTACTAGAGCCATCACATGAAAAAAACTAAATGAACTTTCTGGCCAACCCAGTACCTATTTTGGACCTTTCCAATAAATGGAATCATACAATATGTGGCTTATTTCAGTTAAAATTGTCAAGGTTCACCCATGTTGTAGTATTTATCAGTCCTTTGTTCCTTTTTATGGCTAGATAATATTATATATAGCTATACCACATTTTGTTTATCCTTTCTTCAGTCTATACATTCATTCTTCAGTTATCAATTCATGGAATTTGGCTTGTTTCTACTTTTTGGCTATTATGAATGATGTGCTATGAATATTTGTATACAAGTTTTTGTGTAGACAGTGTTTTCATTCTTTTGGGCATATACCTAGGAGTAGAATTTCTGGGT